CCTCGGCAACAAATCATGTTTCGCTTGCGATACATGCTCAATCAAGTTACATGCGGCATAAGAATTTCATGCAATGTAAATATGAAATGTACAGTCAGACCTGCTCAAAATATCACCTCTATAAAGAAACCACCTGTGTAAAGAGACCACCCGTTTTAAGGGACCATGAGTGTCAAAGGACCCTTCTAAAACTTCCTATTTCAAAAAATAGCATTATGATAACTGGACCTGTATTAAGAAACCACCCAATATGCGACCACTTTGTGGACCTCCCAGAGTTGGTCTCTGAATTCAGGTTCGAATATATAGTGATGTCACTTATACTACAAGTAAATTATATACATTGTATGTGTTATTGTTACATTTAGAGGATATGTTCAGTATTATACTCCCCTGGTGGGTCATAAAGAACAGAACGGTACAGAATAGAGTGAACACTCAGATCGATACAAACGTTACATGAACAACATATATATACATGTAATAAATTAGAGACAGCACTGGATTCAGTATATTAGCATGTGGTTAAAATAGCGTGCACAACTTTTTTCAGAAAGTTACAAAGGTTTTATCGGCCATCTCATATTAGTTCGATATTTCAATTGTCATAGTTTCACGTGCAATATAACACCGTCAAACAACCGCGAATGTTGGTGTCTATTTTATAATGGGTGAACGTATCTGTTTACGTTGTGATTAACAATATATTGGTGATGAGTACCACAATGCTTTAGCTAAAATTGAATTATATACCAACTGCATAGTGGTACTCATCACCAATATATTGTTATTGCACGTGCAACTATGACAATTGTAATATTAAACTAATCTAAGTAAACAGGCCGTCTTTACAACCATTTCGTACCAATTCTCAAAATGGTGGCTCATGAATAATTGATCAATTTCACTATAACTACAAGATCAGGTATTAAATCACCAACAGTCAGTTATAAAGGTTAAACCCATTAGTATAACGTATGAATATTTACAAGTGTTTGAGCTGAACAGTTTGTGAATAAATTGGAAATGTGAATATATGTTACCGGTAAACGAATATCAATAATAAAACAAATACATGTACTTTAATCAAGTCTGAAGTTTTTAGACTTACTGGTTTTTACCAGTTTCTTTTTTAATAAATAACAACAGTCACTTTAGATCAAAGCTTTTGTTGACTTGACCTTTCACGAGTGATTGAGCTAGTTCTTACCCTTATGTCGCATCCTTATTTGAAAAGAAGTTATTTTAATGTTTAAGCTGTGTCATCGGTTATCGAAAAAAAAGGTTATTAACCCGAGGTATATATTTGCGGTCTTAACATCATGAATTCCCGCTAACCATTTGCCGATGTGGAAAAAAACCACAATAATAATAATAAGAATAATAATAAACTTTATTTATTGAGGATACAAACCCTGGCAAAGCTAATCTTCCACAGGGTCCACTGTTAGTAAAATTGGTAAATTTAAAAGACAAAGTAGTATCACAGCAAATAAATGAACATAAAATAATTATCACCGTTACTACTTAGACATAATTTTTGGTCTTACTAAAACAGCAATTCATATCACAGTTATTTCATAATTTAAACGGTCGTTCAATACAATTACAATAAAACTATCCCAGAAGCAACGAAATATATTCCGTGCTTAACCAATTATGGTTTTCATTAAAAGGCAAATCGTCTAATTTACATATATGTTAGACAATTTGTCTTAACATCATGAATTCCTGCTAACCATTTGCCGATGTGGGAAAAAACCCATAATCAAATCAATAGAAGTTCAATTAAGTGCATCATGTTTTGGCCATACACAACACCGCGAAAATGATATCACATTTTTAAAATCACGCTGAGCAGTATATGTCTTTGATGCGATTTCATTTCAGCTTTATTCTGGCTCTCATACACCGTAGTAGAACGTTATTAAATTCATTAAAAAAGGGATTTACGAAGCATGTATCAGAATGGTATATTTTCTTTGGTCCTTTTAGAATTGCATATATTCTGGCTATATCCTTTACTGTATTTCCAGAGATAGCTTGTAGACTATACTATGGACCAGGCAATTTACTCCCCAGGAAGTCCCTCCGTACAGTTTCCGGTTTACTCCTTATATCCAAATCTTCAACAAGGTCCAGCTCTCCAGCCACTTCCGCCCAAGACACTAGGAGCGGAGCCGGTGTGTTACATTCCAAATGCGTCTAGACAGGATTATATTGCTAAAACTAGAATGAAGTATGTACCAGCAAAAACTTTCTGGAATGACGGACCCAATACCGAGGTCCCCGGCATGAGAATGTTTCAACGTGACACATGGTCATGTGACCAGCCCTATACTCCATCTGGTCACGTGAGCCAACAAGGAAAGGTCAAATATCGACCTGGAGTTCTGCCGTCATATATACCTACAGGTTAGTTAACATTGTATCTTCGGAAATGTTGAGCAAGTAACGGTAAAATAACTCGAGTTTTATCCCCTCCCCTCCCAACCCCGTGTTCGATCTCGACCGTTATGCTACTACATGTAAGTACTTTTGCTTTCAATTTAACTTCTTGATTTTGTTTTGTTTTGATAGGGTTATATAAGCTAGTTTTGGAGACTGAGTTACATTTAAGCATTGGACGACTTTCATTTAGCATTCATAGGTAATATGAATGCCAACAGAAAGCAGATTAATTCTAATATTTACCATTTTTTGAACCTATATATCGCAGAATAAAAATCGTTAACAAGTATTTTATTTAGCATCTCGTTCAAATAATTTTTATCTTATGCTTGTTCAACGAATAGAACAGCCGTCTTTACAGTGAGAGTCAGTGGTATCAAACAGAACAGCCATGATGTTATAACAATGATGTCGTCAACAACGGCTCATTGCGTTCATAGGATAAATGGATATCATCTGAATATGACAGTATACAATTGTTAATAGAGAACGTTAAATGCTAACTTTCACAGCATAATTTTCAATTGTGCTATAGATATCCCCCATTGCCCTAGAGTAACCCCCTTAATATATTTTGATTGATTCAGTTTCACCGCTAATTAGTTATACAGACATTCTTGTACACATTTATCATCAATTGATGAAAAAATTCATGTCTACCTTGCCATTTATACAAGTTTATTTACATATCTGTTAAAGTGGAACTCTTTAGAAAGGAGATACATGTCCTAAGTAGGTACCATACACCCTTAACACATCCTTTAACCCTTTGACCACTGTATTCATTATTGCAATCTCTTTGTATTCTTTACGGGTCGATGACATGCAGATGAGAGGAATTTGAATTTTCAAAAATTCGTTCAAAGCCGTTAAATTGGTTCAACTGGCATCAATATATCTGAAATTTGTTTTAAAATAGTTACATAAGAGTGTTAGACGCTATTATTCTTCCAGAGGATTTTTGAAGTCGCATGTCGGTTGTCGAGGGAGAAGATAAAAAGAGTTATTTATACATGTCCATACAAAAAAATATGCTTGATAATCGTTGTAAAATAAATAAAGCTGAGGTTTTGACAGCTTTAATTTTAATCAATTCATATCAAAATTAAGACGAACTGCAATATTGTTTACAGAAATGTTAATATGCTGGTTGATAATGTTTATTTACATATCTGTTAAAGTGGAACTCTTTAGAAAGGAGATACATGTCCTAAGTAGGTATCATACACCCTTAACACATCCTATAACCCTTTAGTCATTATTGCAATCTCTTTGTATTCTTTACGGGTCAATGACATGTAGTTGAGAAATGTTACTATGCTGTTTGATAATGTTTATTTACATCGCACTGGTTGTTCATACTACCAAACAATAGATATGTACGTGCGTCTTGATCAGTCGGCCGTTTTAAGTTAGATCAAACGATTTATTTCTGTTTATGCTGTTATTTGTACTTTTGTAACATGATATTTTTTTTTTTTTTTGTGTGTTAATTTTTGTGAATCAACTGCATTTTTATATCAACCGTTATTTCTATGATTGCGAATGGTCCGTCATACGCTATCAAATTCTCCTTCATTAACGAATTCGAGCGTTCATTTCTTAAAAGTTTTGTTTTCTCTTTTCGGAAAAATTTGTGACTATATTTTAAGAGAGAGAGAGAGACTGAATCAAAATGCTGGGAATATTTTCGTACCCAATTATTTGTAAAGGTCCTTAATGACTGGATCGCGTGCCAGCCTACGTTAATCGATTTGTTGTTAAAATTCAATATTCCATGAATCCAAAACATCCCGAGCAAATCATTCCATACCAAAGAACATAAAATACTTGTGATATTTTTCTTAGATTTCTTTCCAAGCTATATCGCCATTAATTGCGTTCGATCGAGTATGACTCTCGGTCTTTAATTGAGCACGTGTCCAAAGTCACGTGACCTTTTAGACAGGCGTTCATATAGTTTGTTTCTTTGTAGTACCATATTAGTCCTAACTCCGATTTCCAGTTAAGGATCCCCAGCGGAACGCTGCCAAAAATGAAACTTTGCATTCGAAATATATTTTACCGACATGACTATATCTCTGATAAATCATTTTTGAAAAGGAAAGTATCTGTGGGACTTTTATGGAAACAAAATGAAGATGAAATAAATAAAAGATAATCAACCATCGTGTTCTGAGTGTAAAATATTTTTTCGGGAAAGAACCATGGACTTCACATTGCTATACCATATCGCTTAAACCGATTGAGCTACATGGACAACTGAATTTGAAAGATTTACAGATACACTTGTATCAAACGTTTTTGGAAGCTTCCCTCGTAAGCATTGTTTTATGGCTTTGTTGTTGTATATGGCTGGGAACAGGCAGTCGATGATCTGCTGAAGTCACAAGAAATCCCAATAGAACCCCGTACAGAAATAATACTATTTTTTTAGGAATCATTTCGTGAGGTTTGTTTAATGACGCGTATATATATAAATTGACTGAGAGCAGGTGATAGCGACTGTGTACAGACACGGAAAGGTTACCGCCGCGAGGTCTCGGCACGCCACGCCATATATCAGAGGAGGACAGAGTCATGATGTGCCGCCGTCTGCCCATTATTCCCCGCTATGTATTCCTATATATCCTCAACTGGTTCAACACGTACATAGCAACAATACGTAGCAAACCTGTCAACCAGTATCGTCACGAAACGACCTGGTCATCGATGGGTGTACCCTGTGTGACCTTCAGGAAAACTGTGTGACTTTCATGAGCATCTGTTGTCCGACATGCATACTATGTAACTTTCAGAAAATGTGTGTGACCTTCATGAAAACTGTGTGATCTTGATAACCCTCATGTATACATATGTACCACGTGACTTACAGGAGACCCGTGTGACGTTCATCGCCTGGCTGACTTTCATGAACACTGTGACCTTTATAGATAATTGTTTGCTGACATGTAATCCATCTTAATTCCAGAAATTCTGTGTGACTTTTATAGCCTTATGACCTTCATAATTACTAAGTGACCTCTGTGGATATTTTGCAGTCTACATGTATGCCACGTGCTCCTCTAGGACCTGTGTGGCCTATATAGACTGTTTGACTTTCATGAACACAGTGTGATCATCATGATTACAGTTTGACTCTCATGAACACAGTGTGACCTTCATAATCACAGTTTGACCTTCATAAACACAGTGTGACCTTCATGATCACAGTTTGACCTGCATGAACACTGTGTGACCTTTATGAATAATTGTTTGCCGACATGTATCCAATATTACTTTCAGAAAGTCTGTGACATTTTTAGCTTGTGTGGCCTTCATGTTCCTGTGCCACTTATATTTTAGCTTGTGTAACGTACAAACGTACCTACATATAGCCTTCGTGACTTCTATCAACATTGTGTAAACAATATACACACTCAAATTATTATTTAATTCGAAATTAATGTGTACTTCTCTCAGATAACAAGCTTTAGGTACCTTCCCATCTGACACAATGGTATTTTGACCAATTTGGATGTCTACTGTTTTGGCCCTTAGTATCACCTATGTGACATATATCTCCCCATTGTACCCACCCTATGTGACTTACATCACCCTATTTTACATTTATCTCCTCTTGGTGACATATATCTCCCCTTTGTGCCAACCCTATGTGACTTACATCACCCTATTTTACATTTATCTCCTCTTGGTGACATATATCTCCCCATTGTGCCCACCCTATGTGACTTAAATCACCCTAATTTACATTTATCTCCTCTTGGTGACATATATCTCCCCATTGTGCCCACCCTATGTGACTTACATCACCCTATTTTACATATATCTCCTCTTGGTGACCTTTATCTCCCATTTGTGACCTAAATCTAACATTTGGGACCTATATCTGTCCGTTGTGACTTATACTTTCCACATGTATCTGTGACTTATACCTACCGTTTGGTACCTATATTTACTGTGTGTCACCTTTATCTTTTATCTGTGACTTATATCTACCCTTTGGTACCTATATTTACTATGTGTCACATTTATCTTCTATCTGTGACTTATATCTACCCTTTGGTACCTATATTTACTATGTGTCACATTTATCTTCTATCTGTGACTTATATTTACCCTTTGGTACCTATATTTACTGTGTGTCACCTTTATCTTCTATCTGTGACTTATCATTTATCTCCTCTTGGTGACATATATCTCCCCTTTGTGACCTACCTATGTGACTTACATCGCCCTATTTTACATTTATCTCTTCTTGGTGACATATATCTCCCCTTTGTGACCACCCTATGTGACTTACATCACCCTATATTACATATATCTCCTCTTGGTGACCTTTATCTCCCATTTGTGACCTAAATCTAACATTTGGGACCTATATCTGTCCGTTGTGACTTATACTTTCCACATGTATCTGTGACTTATACCTACCGTTTGGTACCTATATTTACTGTGTGTCACCTTTATCTTTTATCTGTGACTTATATCTACCCTTTGGTACCTATATTTACTATGTGTCACATTTATCTTCTATCTGTGACTTATATTTACCCTTTGGTACCTATATTTACTGTGTGTCACCTTTATCTTTTATCTGTGACCTATATCTACCCTTTGGTACCTATATTTACTGTGTGTCACCCTATGTGACTTACATCACCCTATTTTACATATATCTCCTCTTGGTGACCTTTATCTCCCATTTGTGACCTAAATCTAACATTTGGGACCTATATCTGTCCGTTGTGACTTATACTTTCCACATGTATCTGTGACTTATACCTACCGTTTGGTACCTATATTTACTGTGTGTCACCTTTATCTTTTATCTGTGACCTATATCTACCCTTTGGTACCTATATTTACTGTGTGTCACCTTTATCTTTTATCTGTGACCTATATCTACCCTTTGGTACCTATATTTACTGTGTGTCATTTTTATTACATTTTTCTCCTCTTGGTGACATATATCTCCCCATTGTGCCCACCTTATGTGACTTACATCACCCTATTTTACATTTATCTCTTCTTGGTGACATATATCTCTCCTTTGTGACCACCCTATGTGACTTACATCACCCTATTTTACATATATCTCCTCTTGGTGACCTTTATCTCCCATTTGTGACCTAAATCTAACATTTGGGACCTATATCTGTCCGTTGTGACTTATACTTTCCACATGTATCTGTGACTTATACCTACCGTTTGGTACCTATATTTACTGTGTGTCACCTTTATCAGTTATCTGTGACTTACATCTACCCTTTGGTACCTATATTTACTGTGTGTCACCTTCATCTTTTATCTGTGACTTATATCTACCCTTTGGCACCTATATTTACTGTGTGTCACCTTTATCTTATATCTGTATTTTATATCTACCCTTTGGTACCTATATTTATTGTGTGTCACCTTTATCTTTTATCTGTGACTTATATCTACCCTTTGGTACCTATTTTTACTGTGTGTCACCTTAATCTTTTATTTGTGACCTATATCTACCCTTTTGTACCTATATTTACTATGTGTCACCTTTATCTTCTATCTGTGACATATATCTACCCTTTGGTACCTATATTTATTGTGTGTCACCTTTACCTTTTATCTGTGACTTATATCTACCCTTTGGTACCTATATTTACTGTGTGTCACCTTTATCTTTTATCTGTGACCTATATCTACCCTTTGGTACCTATATTTACTGTGTGTCACCTTTTTCTGTGACTTATATCTACCCTTTGGTACCTATATTTACTGTGTGTCACCTTGATCTTCTATCTGTGACTCATATCTACCCTTTGGTAGATATATTTACTGTGTGTCACCTTTATCTTTTATCTGTGACTTATATCTACCCTTTGGTACCTATATTTACTATGTGTCACATTTATCTTCTATCTGTGACTTATATCTACCCTTTGGTACCTATATTTACTGTGTGTCACCTTTATCTTCTATCTGTGACTTATACCTACCCTTTGGTACCTATATTTACTGTGAGTCACCTTTATCTTCTATCAGTGACTTACATCTCCCCATTGGTACCTATATTTACCGTGTGTCACCTTTGTCTTTTATCTGTGACTTATATCTACCCTCTGTTACCTATATCTACAGTGTGTCATTTCTATCTTTTATCTGTGACTTATATCTACCCTTTGGTACCTATATTTACTGTGTGTCATTTTTATCTTTTATCTGTGACCTATCTCTACATTTCTTTACCTTTATCTCCCCTATGCGATCTTTATCTACCTTGTACCATGTGTGAACTATGCATACCAATTGTCACATATATACACCCGGCACGACCTATATTTATACTATGTGACCTGAACCGACTATATAAAGTATGTGTGACCTGCATGTGATTCTTGCTGACGATGTTCTTTCATTTATCAATATAGCTTATTTCATATGAAATATCAAATTTGAAATTGTACATTTGGAGCTAGAATGATAACTGATTTGAACTGTTTAATTATTCCATTCCATTCTGTAATCTTAAAATGTGGTTGAAGGATGGATAAGTACTTGTAAAAAGTATCCTCAAATGAGAGAAAAGACTCAAAGTATCTTTTTACAATTAAACGATATTGAACAGCACTAGCAAACGTATTAGCGGTCATGAAAATTATTCACCAGTAGAATGGGGGCGCTTCTAGCGGCGGATGTTATCGGTTAGTCTGCCTGCAGGTGCAAAGGCACGACACTACCGCTGTCTAAACAAGCGTCTGTGATGTAATTCTTCGTTTCGAAGCATGTGTGGAAATGGTCAAGTGGTCACTACCCCGGATCCGTCCTAACAAACGGTTGGAACAATCGTAACGTTTCTGCCAATTTCGTCAAGTCTCGAATTCAAAGTTTACAGATAGTGTTTTTCTCCCGGTCCCAAAACTCCAACAATGCACTCGTAGTATAAAAATAACGTCCTGCACACAGGCAGGCACGAACTCTTATGGAGGTATTATGCCAAGTGGCCTAGGCTTTGAAGTTAGCGCCTAATAAGTGTGGATTGTATATCTATGATCATAAGGGCCCGGAAGATGATAATTCTATCCAGATAAGCGCTAAATCGTAACATGATATTCACAAGTTCAATCTCAGATATAGTTATCAATACATGAAAAGGGTTTCTTCTCATATCAAATACTATACTAAACTGTTGTAACAATGTTTCGTATTTTAGACCCGTTGCTATGGAGGACCGAGGACGTTCAAAAATGGCTGGAATGGATCGTTCGAGAGTACAACATGAAACAGGTAAACATGGACTACTTCCGGTGTCTAGATGGGAAACATCTCTGCTGTCTGACACGGGAACTATGGTGTAAACTTGTCGGCCACCAGCACGCGGATGTCTTCATGGAAAGTATCCGCTACCTAAGACAGAGTAAGTATCAAGGTCGTCAACACAGCATTTACTGTCTCAAAACAATGTATCAAGATCAGATACATAACATCCATTATCTCAAATAATGTATCCAGATAATGTACACAACATCCATTATCTCAAAACAATGTATCCAGATAATTTACACAACATCCATTATCTCAGGAAATGTATCCAGATAATGTACACAACATCCATTATCTCAGGCAATGTATCCAAATAATGTACACAACATCTATTATCACAGACAAAGTGTACAGGTCGTATTATAACATCCATTATCATAGACAAAATTATCCAGGTCTTATAATCGCATCCTCTGTCTCAGACAAGGTATGCAGGTCGTATACACAACATCTAGTGTCTCAGACAAGGTATGCAGGTCGTATACACAACATCTAGTGTCTCAGACAAGGTATGCAGGTCGTATACACAACATCTAGTGTCTCAGACAAGGTATGCAGGTCGTATACACAACATCTAGTGTCTCAGACAAGGTATGCAGGTCGTATACACAACATCTAGTGTCTCAGACAAGGTATGCAGGTCGTATACACAACATCTAGTGTCTCAGACAAGGTATGCAGGTCGTATACACAACATCTAGTGTCTCAGACAAGGTATGCAGGTCGTATACACAACATCTAGTGTCTCAGACAAGGTATGCAGGTCGTATACACAACATCTAGTGTCTCAGACAAGGTATGCAGGTCGTATACACAACATCTAGTGTCTCAGACAAGGTATGCAGGTCGTATACACAACATCTAGTGTCTCAGACAAGGTATGCAGGTCGTATACACAACATCTAGTGTCTCAGACAAGGTATGCAGGTCGTATACACAACATCTAGTGTCTCAGACAAGGTATGCAGGTCGTATACACAACATCTAGTGTCTCAGACAAGGTATGCAGGTCGTATACACAACATCTAGTGTCTCAGACAAGGTATGCAGGTCGTATACACAACATCTAGTGTCTCAGACAAGGTATGCAGGTCGTATACACAACATCTAGTGTCTCAGACAAGGTATGCAGGTCGTATACACAACATCTAGTGTCTCAGACAAGGTATGCAGGTCGTATACACAACATCTAGTGTCTCAGACAAGGTATGCAGGTCGTATACACAACATCTAGTGTCTCAGACAAGGTATGCAGGTCGTATACACAACATCTAGTGTCTCAGACAAGGTATGCAGGTCGTATACACAACATCTAGTGTCTCAGACAAGGTATGCAGGTCGTATACACAACATCTAGTGTCTCAGACAAGGTATGCAGGTCGTATACACAACATCTAGTGTCTCAGACAAGGTATGCAGGTCGTATACACAACATCTAGTGTCTCAGACAAGGTATGCAGGTCGTATACACAACATCTAGTGTCTCAGACAAGGTATGCAGGTCGTATACACAACATCTAGTGTCTCAGACAAGGTATGCAGGTCGTATACACAACATCTAGTGTCTCAGACAAGGTATGCAGGTCGTATACACAACATCTAGTGTCTCAGACAAGGTATGCAGGTCGTATACACAACATCTAGTGTCTCAGACAAGGTATGCAGGTCGTATACACAACATCTAGTGTCTCAGACAAGGTATGCAGGTCGTATACACAACATCTAGTGTCTCAGACAAGGTATGCAGGTCGTATACACAACATCTAGTGTCTCAGACAAGGTATGCAGGTCGTATACACAACATCTAGTGTCTCAGACAAGGTATGCAGGTCGTATACACAACATCTAGTGTCTCAGACAAGGTATGCAGGTCGTATACACAACATCTAGTGTCTCAGACAAGGTATGCAGGTCGTATACACAACATCTAGTGTCTCAGACAAGGTATGCAGGTCGTATACACAACATCTAGTGTCTCAGACAAGGTATGCAGGTCGTATACACAACATCTAGTGTCTCAGACAAGGTATGCAGGTCGTATACACAACATCTAGTGTCTCAGACAAGGTATGCAGGTCGTATACACAACATCTAGTGTCTCAGACAAGGTATGCAGGTCGTATACACAACATCTAGTGTCTCAGACAAGGTATGCAGGTCGTATACACAACATCTAGTGTCTCAGACAAGGTATGCAGGTCGTATACACAACATCTAGTGTCTCAGACAAGGTATGCAGGTCGTATACACAACATCTAGTGTCTCAGACAAGGTATGCAGGTCGTATACACAACATCTAGTGTCTCAGACAAGGTATGCAGGTCGTATACACAACATCTAGTGTCTCAGACAAGGTATGCAGGTCGTATACACAACATCTAGTGTCTCAGACAAGGTATGCAGGTCGTATACACAACATCTAGTGTCTCAGACAAGGTATGCAGGTCGTATACACAACATCTAGTGTCTCAGACAAGGTATGCAGGTCGTATACACAACATCTAGTGTCTCAGACAAGGTATGCAGGTCGTATACACAACATCTAGTGTCTCAGACAAGGTATGCAGGTCGTATACACAACATCTAGTGTCTCAGACAAGGTATGCAGGTCGTATACACAACATCTAGTGTCTCAGACAAGGTATGCAGGTCGTATACACAACATCTAGTGTCTCAGACAAGGTATGCAGGTCGTATACACAACATCTAGTGTCTCAGACAAGGTATGCAGGTCGTATACACAACATCTAGTGTCTCAGACAAGGTATGCAGGTCGTATACACAACATCTAGTGTCTCAGACAAGGTATGCAGGTCGTATACACAACATCTAGTGTCTCAGACAAGGTATGCAGGTCGTATACACAACATCTAGTGTCTCAGACAAGGTATGCAGGTCGTATACACAACATCTAGTGTCTCAGACAAGGTATGCAGGTCGTATACACAACATCTAGTGTCTCAGACAAGGTATGCAGGTCGTATACACAACATCTAGTGTCTCAGACAAGGTATGCAGGTCGTATACACAACATCTAGTGTCTCAGACAAGGTATGCAGGTCGTATACACAACATCTAGTGTCTCAGACAAGGTATGCAGGTCGTATACACAACATCTAGTGTCTCAGACAAGGTATGCAGGTCGTATACACAACATCTAGTGTCTCAGACAAGGTATGCAGGTCGTATACACAACATCTAGTGTCTCAGACAAGGTATGCAGGTCGTATACACAACATCTAGTGTCTCAGACAAGGTATGCAGGTCGTATACACAACATCTAGTGTCTCAGACAAGGTATGCAGGTCGTATACACAACATCTAGTGTCTCAGACAAGGTATGCAGGTCGTATACACAACATCTAGTGTCTCAGACAAGGTATGCAGGTCGTATACACAACATCTAGTGTCTCAGACAAGGTATGCAGGTCGTATACACAACATCTAGTGTCTCAGACAAGGTATGCAGGTCGTATACACAACATCTAGTGTCTCAGACAAGGTATGCAGGTCGTATACACAACATCTAGTGTCTCAGACAAGGTATGCAGGTCGTATACACAACATCTAGTGTCTCAGACAAGGTATGCAGGTCGTATACACAACATCTAGTGTCTCAGACAAGGTATGCAGGTCGTATACACAACATCTAGTGTCTCAGACAAGGTATGCAGGTCGTATACACAACATCTAGTGTCTCAGACAAGGTATGCAGGTCGTATACACAACATCTAGTGTCTCAGACAAGGTATGCAGGTCGTATACACAACATCTAGTGTCTCAGACAAGGTATGCAGGTCGTATACACAACATCTAGTGTCTCAGACAAGGTATGCAGGTCGTATACACAACATCTAGTGTCTCAGACAAGGTATGCAGGTCGTATACACAACATCTAGTGTCTCAGACAAGGTATGCAGGTCGTATACACAACATCTAGTGTCTCAGACAAGGTATGCAGGTCGTATACACAACATCTAGTGTCTCAGACAAGGTATGCAGGTCGTATACACAACATCTAGTGTCTCAGACAAGGTATGCAGGTCGTATACACAACATCTAGTGTCTCAGACAAGGTATGCAGGTCGTATACACAACATCTAGTGTCTCAGACAAGGTATGCAGGTCGTATACACAACATCTAGTGTCTCAGACAAGGTATGCAGGTCGTATACACAACATCTAGTGTCTCAGACAAGGTATGCAGGTCGTATACACAACATCTAGTGTCTCAGACAAGGTATGCAGGTCGTATACACAACATCTAGTGTCTCAGACAAGGTATGCAGGTCGTATACACAACATCTAGTGTCTCAGACAAGGTATGCAGGTCGTATACACAACATCTAGTGTCTCAGACAAGGTATGCAGGTCGTATACACAACATCTAGTGTCTCAGACAAGGTATGCTGGTCGTATACACAACATCTAGTGTCTCAGACAAGGTATGCAGGTCGTATACACAACATCTGCTGTCTCAGACAAGGTATGCAGGTCGTATACACAACATTTACTGTCTCAGGCAAAGTATCCAGGTCGTATACTCAATAGGTAGGCATTATTGTTCGTTTTATATTTTTTATTTCATATTTCAATATTTGTTTTATCTGCATCAGAAATACAATATTTTATTTAATCTTTTTCAAGAAAACAAATCGAAATTTTACTCTAGCTGTTAATTTTAAGGACATATGCTACCCTGCATTGTACTGTTAATTCATGTTAGAGTTATCTCCTTCTCCCGGTTTAAACAACACTTTTAGCACACGAATAGCTGGAATTTCATTAATATCTCAAAATCAGAACAAAATTTTAAAGTCTGGCAACATAGTAATTCAGCTCGTATGATACGTTAACACGATGCTAATGATAACATCTGAATTTTTAATAACTCTTGCAAGTTGATTAAGACTCTTGTTTTCATGTAGCAGAATCCTGTTTATCTAATCATTTTCTCATGGGTTGAAACCAATCTGTCCGGTATCAGGTCGACATCTTATAATTCAGTTAATTATTATAAATGGATGATGTTTTTGTATCCAGTAAAAGGGATTCATTTTTTATCAAACAGGTCAAAACTANGGAAAAAAAAAAAAAAAAAAAAAAAAAAAAAAGACATTTTATTTTTTATTGGCGTATTGCGGAACCTTTTTGGAAATGTGATTTATGTTAACATCATTACAATAAAGTGTCTTATTACGGGTAAACTTATATTAATGTATATGACATTTATGTTTAGATAGAGTATTTATACCGGACAGTCCTACCTACAAATCCAAGCCCGAGGGTTACAGCACCCGACCCCCGTATAAACCGGGCACGTGCGAGTTCTGGCCCCAGCCGTATCGATCGCCTACCATCGACTTCCGGCCGGGTACCGACAGTGGTACGTGCACGTGGTCTATAAACCTGTTCAGATATTATTACAATTTATGTATAATTATGAATCTTTCCTCTAATTGGTTGGAACACTGACATATTTAGTTCATACATGTAGCCATTTGACCCTTTCCCATTAAGGATCCCTGTTCAACTGCACTCGCAACAGTTTAATAGTCTTAGATCTAGGGTTCGAAACCCGATCTAGCCACGCTGATTGTTTTGCACAGAGATTACATTTGTTTTATTTCACCTTTTTTATTTCTTCACAACAACTCCGCAATGTATGGTTTACTTTTCAGAAATGATTTATCAAAGTTACAGTCATGCCGGAAAAACGTTTCCAATTCGTAGTTAGACATGTTTTGACAGTGGAACAGGGATCCTTAAATGGGATACTGTAGCGTTTCTCTGCAACTGCGGGACTGCAGCCTCAGGTAGCAATACAGCCCTAGACTGGATTACTTCCGTAGTACAAATTATCTCCGCTAAGCTGCGCTAATTTGGAAGCGAAGCATGACTTAGAGTAGAAAAAAACCTACGGCAGGAAACCCAGTGTACTAAAATCCAAATGCGCATGACAACATCAATAATGTTGTAGTTTATTCTGCTTCATTTCATATCGTGACATCAGTCATGTTGACATGCGAATTCGGGATGACTCGTCAACCGAGGTCGGAAAGCGTATACACAGTTCAAATATAATACACCTGTTTAATTTTGAGAGTAAACTTAAGCAAAATGGAAATGAAACAATATTGTTCGGTTTTATCTATCATGATACATGCATGTATAATTAAAAAACATAAAAATCTGCAAAATAATCTGATGTTAAACAGTGTACGACACTAGTTTTGTTATGAAAAAAAATGTCATTTAACTTTCTTATTTCAGATCCATACAAACTATTCAGTAACGTTTGTCGGAAACTCTGTCACTCCGGTAAGTCACAGTTGCCTCCCTTCCCCTATTGCTTTAATGGGCTAGTGCCGCAAAGAAAGGCAAACACGAGTTATTTCCCCTCCTTGCAGCAAATAAAGAAGTGGCTGTATTTCACTTTCACAACCTTGACAGTCACCATCACAAATGGAACATTCTCTACGCCTACCCGTTCCTTCTCTCTCATTTGTGTCTAGCTTTCCATTTTTTCGTGTGTTTTTATATCTGAAATCCCGGTCCGGTTGAGGTTCAGCAAGCCCCCTAAACGACGCTAGAGTCATCCAAAATACAACACTCTGATACGTCATATTAAAAAAAAATCAAAAAAATCAGAATACATTTAGGTGTTAGAACCAGAATTCATGTATGTGTTTTTAATATATTGAACTGATACATAAGCTTATAAGATGGTTGTTAGCGAGGTAAACACAGTCAATAATAAGACATTACGGTTGATGTCTTCACAAAAATAGCTCACCGGACTAATATACAAGTTTATTACAATTAATGTATTTTTAAATAGGGCCTTTGAGTATAACTTATCTTGGGTTGAAATTTAGGATGGACATACCATCTTTCAGGGGTCTTGTTGAAACTTTAATTATGGCAATTCCTTCTTTATCTAAATGACATTGTCGTTTTTTTACGGCAGGTTCCGGTCAGATTCAATTATGGCAGTTCCTCCTCGAACTCCTTTCCTCCAGTTCCAACGCTGACTGCATCACATGGGATGGAACGGATGGTGAATTCAAGCTTGTAGACCCGGATGAAGTCGCGCGCAGATGGGGAGACCGGAAGTCAAAACCCAATATGAATTATGACAAACTGAGTCGGGCAATCCGTTATTACTATGATAAACATATCATGAGTAAAATTCATGGAAAACGTTACACGTACAAATTCAATTTTAACAGTCTTTCAAATATACTGCAAACACAAGAGTCGGAGTTTGTAAATTCACAAGGATTTTTCACATCAAGTGTAAACCAAAACAGGACTTCACGCAGTTTACCTCAAGGATTCTTGGAATACACATGCCCGGGAAAATTCATAAACTCTCTACCTCACGGAAGTCTCAACCAACCGGAGATAAATCATTGTTAGATGCCCCGAAAAAATGGTTTAAATTATAATATGTATATATAATATGTGACATTTCATTTTATATCTGTCATTATAAACAACAAGAATATCTTGCAGGCAGAAGCGTTCAAACCGAAATGGATAAACGGAAGTTCTTTGAAGTATAATATTTGTTTAAAATGTTGAACAGTCTAACTTAAAAAAGTGCGCCTTACATCTGGTAGTTTATGCAATAGAAATATTATTTTATATCTAAACCAGGAATTAGGAAATCGTATGAGGCAAAAATAAAAAGTGAGCAACCTCTTCGCACAGATTTAAATAATGATGTTAATTATGACAAACGTAGCTTTCAGATTTTTTCCTTTAAATGTTTATTTTTTAGATTATTCTTGTTATGTATTTATGTTCATGATGATGATTAACTCAAATTTAATGATGAATTTATCACGACGCAAATCAACTCTATATATATGTATGGTATGATCAGCAACACCTGAATATGAGATGACAGGGGAATAGCAGGGTTTTAGACTTTTTTATATAGTTCTATTAGCCTTATAAATTGATCTTAGTATATTACAAAATGTCGCCTGGTATTGCGTGTACATGCACACATATGCTATTATGTATATGCGAGAATGTAATAGATGTGTGTGATTGCATGTGTAAGGAATTGTGTGTGTGTGTGTGTGGGTTTGGGTGTGGGTGTGTTGGTGTGGGTGTAGGTGTATGTGTGTGGGTGTAGGTGTATGTGTGTGTGTGTGTGGGTGGGTGGGTGTGGGTGTGTGGGTGTGTGTATTTACAGTTATTACACTATGCCATCTTACTGTTATTATTTATGTTTGTACATTTCAATCTGTTATATGTACACTTTAGCACTGTAAAAATCACCCCGATCCACGCCTATAGATCCAATCCCATATCAGAACCTATCTGCTGATATTTGGGAATCACCACATGTACATGTACTTCATCTTCTAAATGAAGATAATGTACCCAATATCTATTCAAACTTTTTCCCTTCTTCCTTCTCTTTGCTTTCCGTACCTACCCTCATCCGCTTCCTTGTCTACCCCATTTCCTTTCCCTTTTCTAAACTCACATCCAGTCATCCCAAACTGCACTGTATCAAACTGCCCGTATAAGAAATCCCTTCTCGCGCCCCTAAAATCTGATCTATACCCTCCTTAGTAGGTAATGATGTTGGTGCGTGGAGGGCTGCCATAGGCGGTTTTCACTGTAAAGTTGCAAACATTTTAATAACATACACTTACATAACATACCCTGCTGATTTTCTAAATATTTTTGAAGTCAATGCCAAATGTTGGTTATTTACATCCTATTTGTTTTTATAACAATCTTATATCAATAATGTAAACATATTCTTTCCTACGATAATCCATCTTCTTCTGTCATTAGGGAAGTCTTCTATATGGCGATCCTAAATTCAGCAATGATGAAAATACCTCAATTGCAAAATCTGTTCAACATTATATCAGCAAATGCAACAGGTTTGGCTGAATGAGATCATCTTTCTCTCTCTATCACTCTTTTTTCATCGACTCTACCTGTGTTTCCTTTACTTTGTTTCGCTCTTCGTCTTTTCTTCCTCCCTATTTTCCCTTTCCATATAAAAACATAATTTATATATATTGCGTAAATTACCTCATGAAGTTATTGCTTATATTCATGTATTTGAAGAAAAGGACTTTGATAAGTTGTGAAAACTTTGGTCCAATTCTTTTGTAAATATATATTTGCAATAAAATATGTTTAAACCAAATCACATGAATAGGTCAGAAATTTAAACTTTGTAATTCAATGTCAGGCATTTCAAATGTTATAGTCGTTTGAAATAAATCTATCAAAAAATTGTTTACAAAAGAAAGCCATATGAATATAGTTCAAAATAGCTTTATACATTCTTGCAAGAATTTACATGTTTTATTTGTAAATTTTGGACAATGCTTTTATTACAAATCGTATTTGTTCTTAAAATTCTCTAACACTCCTTAATCTGAGGGGCTGTGGTGGCCAAGTGGTTAAGGCGTCTGCCATTCTGCTACCACTAGCTCTCTCCACCACTGGGTCGCGGGTTTGAGACCTACATAAGGCAATCGCAAGGTACTGGCCGTAAGTCGGTAGTTTCTCCGGGAACTCCGTCTCTCCTCAAACACCAAGAACTGGCACGTCCTTAAATGGCCATAGCTGTTAATAGGAAGAAAAACACGAACAAACCAGACCAATAACCTGATAGATCTTATTCATGTAATTGGTTTCACTTAAATTACATTTCTGATGGCAACATTATGTAAATATATTGATTTTAAAGAAAGTCTCCACATGTAGAAATGGACAGCGTCCAAATACAAAGGTTCCTCTCTTGAAAATATATATTTTTTCTTTTCCTTTTTTTTCTATTGTTCTCTCTCCGAAATATGTAATGACAACACCGAAGGTTCTTTACGCGGTATCTTGAGGATGATATAAGTTGATAAGTCTGGAAACTCATACAAAATCCAGCGTACATGTGACCTATTTTATACAAAATATATGGAATCGTGCAGCAGCATATCGGTAAAATGGATCGCCTTTGATTTTGGTGCTGCGAAAGCAAAAAACACAACGTTGGATTTGAACGATGCGATACGAATGTCAACTACAATTCATTCGCCGTTAGATCAATTCAAGGTTGTGTATCTGTCTTATGATATTGCGAACCTCTTTAATAACGTAACATTTCGTCGGGTGAAATGTATAAAACATCATTTGCAAAACAAAACAAATGTTTTTGGTCTAGAAATTATCTATTGAGTGGTACTGAGCTGAGCGAATCTGACATGATAAAACCTAGTTGTAATACCATATCATTGTCTTGGCTTTAATTATTTAATTATTTATTTTTATGTTACATGTAATTTATAATTAGTAATTAGTTTCTGGTCGTATAGTTTTATTTATTTATTCAAGCATATTAGTAATAGCGACAATGATCAGATGTTTGCTCCTGTATTTTGCGATTCCATTACTAGTATATAAAACCAACAAGATATTTCGCACAAATATACATATGTAGTATTCTATTTCTGTTAATGTTGGAATAAATTGCATCCTTTTTTCTTTTCGAAAATAAATGAATTCACCAAGTTAAACGAGTTAATTATTGTCTGCAACTACATGTGCTAAGATACTACTGAAAGTATTGAATTTTTTACAAAAGCCTAACTTATCAAAAGATGAAGATTGCATTGCAGTTTTTGATACATAGTGAGATCCCTAGACTTTCCAAAATTAGATTTCCACACAAGTGGTGAATTTCATACCATTGTAGAAAATGAAACATTTCTGTAAAATGATTTTATACAAAAAGGGTTTATCATATTCAGTTAATGAGTGCAATCAAAATTACTGCAGGGCGTTTATTCCTAAAAAGAGGACCACTTTTTTCCCTATAAAATCACTGTTACTTCAAAATTAGAATTCAAAGTGATTGGCATCAAAATAAAATATAAATGTAAAACATAAATATACGGAGCCCGTTAACTGACATGCTACAGACTTATTTTATTTCGTTTTATCGAATTGTTATTTCGTTTTTTCGAATTATTATTTCGTTAAAACGAGTTATTATTTCGTTTTTTCGAAATATTATTTCGTTAATACGAATTATTATTTCGTTTTAACGAATTATTATTTCGTTTTTTCGAAATACTATTTCGTTTTTCGAAATGTTATTTCGGTATAACGAATTATTATTTAGTTTTATCGAAATATTATTTCATTATAACGAATTATTATTTCGTTTTTTCGAAATATCATTTCGTTTAATCGAAATATTATTTCGCTTAAACGAATAAATGTCAGCCTCTCTTTCACTTTGATAATGGCTGATTATCGTGGTGAGCTGTTGAAGAATTATTTCTTATTAGGTTTAAAGCATGATGACATTTGTTGGATTTTAAACCATAGACACGGATATTCTCTCAGTAGCAGACAATTGATAAGGCTTTTGCACAAAGCATCATTGTACAGATATAAACATGAAGCTGACATTATGACAGTTGCTGATTTAATACAGTCTGAACAACGAGGATCAGGAGTAATGCATGGATATCGATGGATGTATCAAAAAATGAAATGTCAAGGTATTAACGCAAGGAAGGAGGAAGTTCGACTTTTAATGAGTATTTTAGACCCAGCAGGAACAGAACTTCGCCGAAGACATAAACTAAGGAGACGCCTATATTGTTCGAAAGGTCCCAATTACATCTGGCATTTTGATTCTTATGACAAGTTGCGTCCATACGGAATTTGTATCAACGGGTTGCCTGGATGGGTTTTCGCATATGGCTTAACGCGTACCACACAAGTAGTGATCCTAGAGTCATTAGTGGATACTATTTGAGCGCACTGGTGAAACTCGGCGGTTGTCCACTCATTGTTCGTGGTGATAAGGGTACAGAAAATGGACATGTGTGCCAATTTCAACGTTTTCTTCGCCGCAATGATAATGATCCATTTCGTGGTGAGCGTAGTTTTATGTATGGGCGTAGTACGAGCAGTCAAAGGATTGAAAGTTGGTGGGGTTTCTTACGGAGTGAATGTATGGAGTTTTGGCTGGCTCTGTTTGACCAAATCAAAGAAGATGGTAAATTCGACGGTGGATTTCTTGATAAGAATATCATATTATTTTGCTTCCTGGCACTTATTCAGGTACGTCATATGCTGTATATGCTTTGATTGTGGTAGCGATTGATTTCACAATCAGATATCGTTTCTAAGTAGACAATGTATCAGGTGTTAACATGCAATAAACAACCAACATGCATCTTGTTGATTTAATTAACTAACAAGTCCCGCCTTACAAAACATAAAAACACCTTGTAGTGTTTTATGATTTATGTTTGATTAGTAAATCAATTATTAATCAAAATAAAACACGGTCAGACCGAAGATAAGGTTATGGTCCTTACATTTGAAATAAAATGTAAAATAATGTCTATACATTGGCAGTATGGTGGCATTCTGCCACCAACTTACGAGTTAAGTATGTCGACATATTTGTTTTCAAAATGATATCGAGATAATTTTGCTTAGAGACGAATATATATGAACCTTCCTTTCAGGTTGGTTTTAATACCAAATCACCGCCTTGAATTTGCATAAGAAATGATAATCATCAAAATGTATTTTCAAAATATCGGCTGAAACCCACGTTTAACATGATAAGTTCATTTATTTCAGGATGAACTGGATGTAACTGCGGAAGTGTGGGATTCCCACGTTATTCGGCCTTCAACAAATCCTTGTGTTCCAAGTGGTCGTCCAAATATCATGTTTGCAGTTCCTGAACTTTACGCAGTAGATAGTTACACATGTGCTGTAGATGATGAAGACCTGCTACTTTGCAAAAATAATGCATTATTTCGCAGTGGGATACCCTGTGACGAAGACGT